CAACAAATGAAATATGGGTTAGGATGGATTGGGATATAGTGTTACCGAGTTAAGGTTAACTTTAAATTTAATTAAACTTTCCCCATTTAATTTTGGTATCGTATACGTGGAAAAATAATTTTGCATAATCACCAAATCTATTCGTTAAAAATAATGACACTAATAGACCTTTTCTATAATGATAGTGGCATGAATGTTGAGACATATAAACTATTTTCTCAAAGTTCAATGACGTATCATATTAGCGTGTGAAAAAAATGCAAAAGCTTAAGTCATACATTAACGTTAAGAAAACGGTAACCAAAATACAAATACCCAAATGAGAAAGGTGATGACATAGAAAGTAGAAAAATAAAAGTGGAATTGTCTTTTTGTTTCTTTTCTCTTGTTTTCTTCAGAGTGGAAACTGGGGAACACGAGTTGGGCTACTTAGCTTTTTGTAAAGAGCCTTTTTATTGAAATAATTCTGTGTAGTAGGTGCTTTTTGTATTGCCTTGACACTATAAAGTACACAAATCTCAAGCTAATTGTATGCCTTTTTTTATCACTTTTACCTACTTTTTTTTTCTTTCTCTAATTTAAAGTCAGAAGAATAAGTTGTTTTTACACTAAACTTTATATTTTCAATTTGTTAAATGTTGAAAATACTTGATATGTGGTCCTTCCTGGTGTGGAAATTACCACACGAGAAATTTAAAAAGATTTATTGACTTATAGGGACAATTTTATATATACTAATTAATTGAGGTAATTACTGATTAATTTGTTATGATTAGTTAATATAATATGAGAAAAGCAACATAGACTCATCTAGTACTCAACATCAACAATATCATAATGATCGATCAAAGACGGAGCCAAAATTAAGAATTTATGGTTATGAACTTATCATGAAATCGTACACATGTGGAGTTATCATTGAAATTGTAGGTTCAACGAAACAAAGAAGAAATTAAGTTTTAGTGTTTATGGGTTCGGACTGGCCATCATTTCAAACCTTGTCACTGCGTTAACAATTAAATATATATAAATTTTTTTCTTGATATAAAAGAGGGTTTAAGTAAAAATAATTGGGTCATCCAAATCTGTATCTAATACTCTATTTCCACTCTTTTGGTAAAAGTAAGAAACTTTAACTCAAATTTAATATTTCTTATGATATGATACGTACATTTCTTATGCGCAAATATGGTTGGCACCACTAGTAAAAGATGAAACAATAAGTTCTATTGGGTTAATACCTCATATGGTCACTCAACCATCCACTTTTACCTCAGAAAGCCATTCAACTTTTAATTTTCACTAAAAAGTCACCATGTAAGTGACTTTCTGAGAAAAGACTGGATAGTTGAGTGACCATCTGAGGTATTAACCCAAGCTCCATTTGAAACTTGAAGATTTTAGAGATCTACATTTAAGGTATAATTGGAGTAATTAAATAACAAACTATATTTTAAGTTTATGTACAAAGGGAAAAAAGGCTGGGGCATGTGCTACTGGCTGTGGAGCAAGACTTTTGTCCCAATGTAAGGATACCTATCCACCCACTTACGTCAAGAAGATGCTACTGACAGCATTAGATCAAAAATCAGGTTGTCGTGGAACAATAATTATTCATTTATTTTTAATTAGAGATTTCAGGTTTGAATTAATATAAAAATGAAATTATCTTTGTTAGGAAACACTACCTCCCAATATGAGACTTTTAGTGACACATATGAATTTAGTCAAACTCTAATACAAATGACGATTAATGAAATTATTATTTTTTATTTTAGAAAAAAGCCCCTCAGCTTCCCAAAAGTAAAATGTACTTCCAAGTTTCATGTTGAGTTTGTTGGCGAACTCAGGTTTGAACATTAGTTCAAAATTCTACAACTAGACTTCATTCGGTCTCAGTTTCATTTAATTTGTTATTACTCACTCCGTCCTCTTTTATTTGTCATGTTGCATTTTTTGGATATTAATTTGATTATTTTTTTAAAGTTAAACTAGATTACATTAATTTGATATTTTAAACAAAAAATTTAATATTCAAAAACTATACGAAAAGTACTATTATAAATTGCAATTTTTTGCATATCAATATGATGTAAAAATACATCATAAATATTAGTCAAAATTTTATAGTTTGACTCTAAAAAATGAAACTATGACAATTAAAAGTGGACAAAAATTATATTTTCTTATTAATCCACGGCTACGTTCTTCTATTTTTGTCCAGATATTTTAATAGAAATGTAATCAAAAGATAAAGAATAAGAGAGTAAGATTTGTTGGATTTCTATGCTCAAATACAATTTGATGTTTCTTAGAATAGGAGTCGAACTTTTAGATTGATAAATAAAAATTCTATGAATTAATAATTCTTATTGTAAATTAGAAATTTTATTAATCACATTATGATCCCACAATTTGATTGTACAAATATTTTACATATACTCTTTTTAAGTAATTGAATTCATTAATTTTAACGTATTCCACTCAATTAATACCATGCGAACTTTTTTTCTTGTATATAATTTTTATTTACACCTTGTGTATCTAAAGTTATTTGCACCTATGTATTATTAACCTATTCGATAAATGCATGTCATGTGTTTGAATTTATAGTTCAATCTATTTAATTTTAATTAATTAACATGTATTTTACTTTATTAAATCATGTAAATTGCATTAGTTTGGTGTATACGAATAAGTATTTACCGTCGGATTACCGTCGCCATTGATATCTTGTTGCCTTAAACCCTAAATATTTTTCTTGAAATTTAATTTGGTGAATTAATTTTCTCCCAAAATTTTGAAAAGCTGTTTTGATAAGTATTTGATTAATAAAAAAACTTTTGTATGAATGGAATATAAGCCAATTAAACATTCCCTCGAAATATTTATAAATCTCCAAAGATCACATTTCTGATCTAACCACTCCATGTCTTCAAAATAAACAATTCAAGTTGTGGCAATGCCAATCAGTCACAGCCCATCTGCTCAATATCATATATGATTGGAAAAACATTTTTTATTCATTTATTTAAAAGAAAAAAATATTTGAATAAAGAAATTGAGTCAAAGTACGTAGTACTCCTCCCCTTACACTGTACTATTTGATTCGATATAAGAGTTATAAAATATGATATGTGATATCTCAAAAAATTGATCTTAATTATTTATTTTCGCTTGATAAAATTAAGTCTTAGTTTTTCAGCATTGATTAATATATTGAGTAGATTCACTATTTTGAAATACCTTAGATTTATATTTTATAGCCAAAAGCTAGAACTTATGTTTGATGAACGATAAAAAGATTTATCTATTATTTAGTCAAACATAAGTTCTAAAATTTGTCTTATGCAGAATTTGTGATCAATTGAAAGATTACTTCAAGTTCTCAGTACTATTTCAAAAGTTTATGATCGAAATCCAATTACAACAAATTTGTAACCATTTTTTTCGGAGGCAAATTTTAGCTTAATATAAGAGAACTTAAAAGGAATAAATGTTGTTATATCTTTGAATACAAAGTCCAATATTCATCAAGAATGGATATATTACATTATTTGGGTTACATTGTGAGCAACATTATTTTTATATTTATAAAAAAAAAAAAAAAACTAAAAAGGCAGAAAAGAATCAAGTTTCAGAATCATACAAGAGGGAGACAAACATAGAGATAGTGATATAAAAGAAAAAGAAGAATGAAAAGGAAAAGGACAGCAAAAGAAGCCAAATCCCTAGACAGCCTTTCCACTCCCCCTTTTCTCTAAAAACCAACGAATCTGTATGACTAAGGACCCCACCCCATCCTCACCTTCACCCCCAACCCCACCCCACACCCAGCTCCACCTTCTTAATTTTTTTGGTTTTCTACTCGATATCTGGTATCCTTATTGGAGTTTAGTTATTTTGAATTGATATGGTATAAGACTCCATTTGGTGAAAAAACGTTTTTTATTAAGAATTTTTTCATATTAAAATTTGAATCCAATATCTTGATTTTAAAAAAAAATAGTCTCATTCAATGCACTATATCTATAAGTGGGAAGCTTCTTAATTTTCAGATTATCACTAAACAAATATGTGGATTTAATAGTGGCCAATATTAAGTAAAGTACTAATTGAGATATGATCTACTCTAGTACCATAATAATCAAATGAACATTGAGTTTAATCCGATCGACTTTTTTTTATCAGCTATAAATTATTTAGCGATCAGTTTTATAACTTAAACTTTTCAATTTTTCAGTAGAGTGATGATTGATCGTATATAAGAACACATATGGGACAAACTCTTCTCACTTTTTTGTATAAACTTTTTCAAAGTTTTAGATCAATATGCTGAGTGTTAAAAAGAATGTTTAATCTGAAAGATCTAATCACAATTTGATTTATTTAGGAGACATCATGGATTTCAATTTTATTTTTTAAAATTTTTATTCAAAATGTACGATGTTAGAGTTATTAAATAAGTACGTTTAATTATATTTCTAGTAAAAGAATACTTTATTCGAAATTTAGAAAAATAATACTATTAAAAAATCAAGTTTGAATCACTTTTTAAAAATTTAAATCGAACATCCAATTTGATTAGAAGTTTATATCAAACAATAATTTTAATATTATTCCTAAAAAAATGAATAATTTCAAAAGGCTAGTGGAGATAATCAATCAATAACATCAATTGTGGTGCAGTGATGAAATTGCTTAATTTTTAATCAAAATTTTTGAATTCAAACTATGAATATAAATAAAATATGTATGAATAGAATTTAGTCGAGGCTTTAATCCAGATTCCAAATACGAAAAGAAAATAAAAGAAGAAATTATTTATGAATACATCACATATTTGAACCTAACCCAATGTTAAATAATGTGATCCATTCCATATAAAAAAACAATGTTGTGAGTTGTGACCACCCACTTCCATTTCTCTTTCACTCCCACTCCCTATTTGCACAGTGACACTCGCCTTTTTAATTTTCTTTTTTCTTTCTTCGCTTCATCTCTTTCATGTAAAAACCCACTCTAGTACTTTTTTATTCGCATCTCCTGGAACTCTCCCTTTTTTGGTTTAAAAAGCAAAACACTGAGAAAAAGAAGAAAAAATCTCTTCGCATTCCACTGTTTAGTTTAAAACTAAACAAAAGTTCGCTTCAACTTCCAACTCATTTGCCTTTGTTTTTTTTTTTTTTTTCTACTTTACCAATTTCTACAGAGAAAATGAGAGTCGAGTTGAAAACCAGACTTTTTACGTTACTTTTGACGCTGCTTTGTATGTGTAAAGGTTCGTTTGGTGGGTTACTTGCTGAACCGGCGGAGCCATTGAAGCCAGGTGATTACGCTTCTAACACTGTTCCAGCTTTTCCGGTTCAGACCGAGTCACAGATATGTCGGTTGGATTTGTCCGACGAGCTATTTGGTGGAGTGAGCGCGGCGTGCGGACAGAACCTGGACCGGAGCCGTTGCTGTCCTGTACTGGCGGCTTGGTTATTCGCAGCTCACGCGCGTTCAGCTTTGCAAGTTTCAGGGGCGGCTGCACCAGCAAGCTCCGACTTGCCGATGATGCCGGATGACTCGCAGAAATGCGTTAATACGCTTCAGAATTCTCTTCAGAGCCGTAACATCCATCTCCCGCAACCTAATGGTACATGCGATGCCGTTTTGTGTTTCTGTGGTATTCGTCTTCATCAGATTACCTCCCTTAGTTGTCCGGCGGCGTTCAACCTCACCGGCTCGAAGAATGCAACTCCGACCGCCGCCGTCAGAAATCTCGAGAGGAATTGTCGGAACTCTTCTTATTCCGGTTGTACCCGGTGTCTCGGTGCTTTACAAAAGGTCGGTCACGTATTCATTGACATATTTCTTCTTCTCCACTCAACCTATATCTGTACTGTAATTCTGATTTAGATTTTACGTTTCTGTAGCTTAACGGTGACGGTGGAAAAAATCGAACACACAAAATGGATGTAACCGGTGGGGATAGAGTGAGCAAGATGCTAAGCAGAGACTGTCAGTTGATGGGATTGACATGGTTACTGGCACGCAACAAGACGGCGTACATACCGACGGTTTCTGCTGTATTGCGCGCTATCATGTACAGTGCGCACCCACCGCATGAGTCCAAGTGTAGCCCGGACCAGGAGAACATGCCACTAGCCGTCGATTCACTACAGTTTGAAAAAAATGATTCATCTTCACCGTTCGTTGGTGTTTCTGGTTTTGCTATTTTGTTTACTTTTTTGCCCCTAATCATTCTACTGAATTAGAGAAGAAGAAATCACTCTGTTATTTTGCTCATGTGATGTGATTTTGGGGGATTCACGTGAAATGTTTGCTGACAAAATCGGAAGAGGGGTGAAAAAGGGGTTATTTTGTCTTTTTGCTCCACTGTAAATTCAGGTTATTATTTGCAAGACAATCTCTTTTTAACAACTAGTGCCAGAAAATATTACCCTTCTTTTATGTGAATCTCCTGTTTAACTTTTGAAACCTTTCATTATTTTGGTTGAGTTTTTTTGGATATTGTTTTATTTAATAGTTTAAGACCACATGGCATGTTAATAAACTTACAAATTTGTTTGGTCTAACTTGGCTGGTTGAATTTCTTTGCAAGTGGTAAAAAAGAAGAAGCTATATTTCTTTTTAACTTTTTGGTCTAGTGATTTAGTTGGACATCTCAACTCCTTTTTTTCCCTGATACATATATGAAATTATATGTTAAGCCAGCAGCTCTTGTTTGACCAAATATAATTTTTGAGGCATAAATAACTCCACCCTAATTGCTCCGCGTCGGAACTGACTAAATTAGATGTCCCACGTTGGGGGATAAAGAGCTTTCTAACAAAGATGACTTCATAACCTTGGTGATTCGAACCAGAAATCTCTGGTTAAGAGTGAATGATACTTAATTACTACTTTCTTTGTCCCTAATTACTTGTCTACTTTTGAATTGACACACCTATTAAGAAAATAATTAATGACATAGTGAGTTTACCATTTTACCTCTATTAATTATGAAGTGGATGAAAAGTTCTACCTTTTTCAAAATAATTAGTCATTTAATTGAGGATATAATAGGTAAAAAGAATTTGTTCTCTTTTGATTTGTTAAAATGGACAAGTAATTAGTGATAACTATAAAAAAGTAGTGAACATGTAATTAGGGACAGAGAGAGTACTTTACTACAATGACCAGCAATGAGGTTTTTGAAAATATAATAACTAAGTACATGAGAATCATACCGACATGAGGGGAATCTATAATGGAGAAAACGATGAGAATCAAAAAGTTTTGAACAAAACTAGGGGAAAGAGCAACTCAACTCCCCAGGAAGGACTGAGGCATGTTGGTCGTATAGTTATAGTAAATGGCAACATTGAACATTGCAACCAGGCAAAGGTTTATTTTGTTAGATCTACAAAAACAACTCACATGTGGACATATAATACATACATATACAATGGTTTAAATTAAGAATTAGTAGTTGCACATGTTTACAGGAGAGAATCACGGTTGGATGTTTGTCACAAGATATTAATAATTAGCGCAGCCACACCCTTTCTACTTGTTCGTCTTCCTTTTTTATTTCACCTCGGATACTTTCCCTTTGAGCCGAGAGTCGAGAGTTTATCTGAAACAAAGGCAATGTCTGCGTACATTATATTATTCTCGACTCATTTTGTCACTTTTCCTGAACCGCAGGTTATCTTGCATAATAAATTTCATTTTCAACCGATTGAGTCGAACTACAAACAACCTTATTCCTAAGGTGTAAGGATATGTAGGTGGGATCAATGTTGAAAACTCGGTTGTACTCCAACATTCGCTCTTAAATATTATTCCCAAGCGTCCCAGTCTCTTCATAATTTGATATCGGGATGACTTTTGAGTTCTTTCAAAATCGTGCGTTAAAATCAAGTGTATCGAACTACAAGTAGCTTGAATTCTCATATTGCCTGAGATATGTAGGAAACCCATTTCTGGGGTTTGACCATAATTCCTAAAGTCCGTACCAAAACCTTTATTTTTTCTGAAACATGAAGATGTGGTCATCCAAAATTGGATTAGTCAATTTCATTTGCCTCGAATTTCTTTTATAAATCCGAGTTAAACGAGGGACAGTTGTTGACACCCAATTTTGGACCTTCATAATATAAGTTAACCATTGAGCTTCTTCAATATCAAATGATTTAAAATAATTAGTTTTATAAAATTCAAATATTTTTCAAAAAGTTGTTTTAGGTAATTTTAGTCGATTTTTATAGTTTTCTAAACAATTAGTATAGTTTATGAATATTTGAAAACCATCTCAAAAAGATTTTGTTTTAATTAAATATTTGGTTAATTAGTTTAATTATACAATAGTTTATATTTTGAATTATTTAGCTTATAACTAAGTTAATTATTTAATTTTGTTCCCATTAAAAAGCTCATTAATTAATTTATATTAATTCGTCTTATTTAGTTTTAGGCCAAATAACCAATTAAACTCAATTTGACTAACTTGTTAATTTTCATAGGCCATAATTGCAATTCATGTGGCTATTTCCTATTTTGCAAAACCTATCCACATTTTGATCCCATTTTCAGCCAAGAAACGGGCCCAAATTCCCATCTCCAGATCGTCCCACTTCAATTCCATCAGCCAACCCATCCCTTTTTTCCAATTTCCAGTCAACGTTCTCAGCCCACTATTAATTCTCCTAAGATCCAATTCTTATCCAGCAACAATAACCCAGCCCATTCCAGCATACACCAACAACGTACACGACCCTGCATCGTCGTCTTCTTCACACGTGAACCAGTACAACACAAAACCCAGCAAGAAAATCACGAGGAACAGCCCAACGAACCAGAACGTGAACCCAGCGGCCCAAGCCCAGTCTAATCGCGAACAACGTGTGACCCTCTCCTCTCTCATCTCCGTACAACAATATTCTCGGTTAGTCCAGGTGTTTCTATCTCAGCATCTCCCTCGTCCTTGCTCATAATCAGACGACTTTAATTGTTTTTTCGTTGATGAATTGTATAAAGATCGTACTAATTCCAGCTCCTCAACCTTATCCTAAAGGGAATCAAAATTTAAAATTCATCCAATTTCTTCACATGATTCCCCCCCTCCCCCCTGCTTTTTTCAGCCCTCATCCTCATCTATAAAAGCTGGCCTTCTTCTTCATTTTTAGAGGTTGGGAAAAAATGGGAATCAACTAGCATTTGAGATGAAAACACCCTAAATTACTAAGTATACAGTTACATACAAGTATTTAATATAGGTGTGAGGATAGAGATTAGGGGTTGGAATTTTGGCTTGATCCTTGATCTCGTTTGCTCCTGCCGTGTTTGTCGTGACTCTAGGATAGAAAAAGACTCATCCTCTGAGACAGGATATTTTCAGTTATATTTTCAGATTGGAGATTCTTTTGCTTTCCGAAGCTCATTGAAATCAACTCATAGTGGTGGAAGCGCTTTCAAGCTCGTTGTCCCACGTCGCTGCTTCGAAAGATGTATATTTGCTCGTTTCGTTCTTAAATCGTATTCTGTGCTTTGGTTTTAAGTCCATTATCTAGCTGCTGATTTGGCTCAATGCTTTGTTTCAGGTTTGCTTCTGTTGTAATTTTCTCTATTGATTTCATTTTTTATTGTTTAGTTGCTCAACTCTACATTTAGTGCATTATGGATTTCATTATGGTTTAGCTTCTCATTTGCGCATCTGAAGTATCGAATTCGATCTCTATCATCACTATTTCATCATATCTCAAATGCCTTTTCCATGCCCCTTACTGTATCGTTGCCATTATGTACCTGAACTTGTGTTGATTTTGTTAAAATTTTGAAGTTTTGTCTAGATTAGTGAGGTTCTAAGTTGAAATGGATTAATAAATTGGCTAATTTAAGTTTTGTTACTTCTCTTTTCTTTGTTTATTATTTTTCTTAAAATTAGTATGAGACAATCACTGCTTAATAGGATGCAAATAATGGTTTTAAGTTGGTGTTTTCTTTTGATTCCATATTATATTAAATAAATAATGCTTTAATATCTCATTTTTTGCCTTAAAGTTACAGAATGTTGGCTTTAAATAATTGATATAGTAGTTAGTCTCTATTTGTCTTAAGTTGAGAATGACTTGATTCTAATTAGCTTTGTGTTTATTGTGATTTATCTTATTTAAACCTATGCTTTATGTAGTGGTCTTTTCCTTAAATGTTAGCATGTAAATGTTAGTAGCAGTTTGGTCCATTTGCTTTTAGATTAAATATATTCAATTGCCTCTTGTTATGATTCCAATCATGCGTAGCTATTTTATTAAAATTTTCATTATGATTAATTATTGATTATTATCATCTTGTTCTTTGCATGAACTCCTTCAATGAGCCTTTTGGACTCCATTCTACCTACATATTCGAGTTGATTTCCTATCGAGTCAACATTGGTCATCGTTCAAAAAAACGAAAGTTGAAATATAGCAATTGAATACTAAAATACACAGGTGGAAGGAAGGTTGAGATACGGCCTGTATACATGTTGTATACATTGAATTCGCAGGATATACAAGAAATATACATTGATATACGATGATTGTATATGTTGTATACATCAACAAAAATAAGGCCAAAAGCCCTCAAAATTTCAGAAGTTGTATTTTGTTATTATTGGGCCTAAGCCCTTTTATTTTAATTATTATCTTGTTAGTATAAGATAGGTGGAAGGTGGGCTTAAGGCCTAAAGACTAGTCTACGACAGGTGCTAAGTATTGGGCCTTTGGATCCAAAACTGAAATTAGGCTCAGGTATCGGCCCAGGCGAACAGAAATCAGACTTGGGCTTACTTTTTCTCTCTTTTGTTACTTAATTGATTTTGCATGCTAGTCTGTATTGACTTTCAAGATTTTTCCGTAAATCAATTCCCCAAAAGATTACCATTTTGACTACTCATAAGTTTTCCTAAAATTTGGATAAGTGTTTATTTTCTTATTTAATTACTTCACTTAAGTAGTAATCCCTTATTCTATTTCCCTTTCCCCCTAAAATTAACTTAAGTTTTAAGTTGTATATTTTCGAAACTTGATAAGCATGTTTTTTTCTTTTAAATAATTATTAGCCAAATAGTTAATTATCGAATAACCGCTTGTTAGCGGACATTTTTGGGTGCTTTCAAACCCTTCTCCAAATGCTAATATGAACCCCGAACCCCTTTAATATTTTTATTAGATTTACTGTTTTAATCTTTTGAAACAATAGTTTTCTTAATTTTCACTTTAAAAATTAAGTGGCGGCTCTTTAAAACCCCATCGTATATTATTTTAAATTAAAACAAAATGACGAATCTACTGGGGATTTGAATTGGGTTCTAACCTTAAAATTAATTTGTTTGGCTAATATTTGTTGTTTATTTGCTTATTTGTTTATTTTTTTTTCAGAATATTAAATTGTTGCT